AGAATGAAGTTGAGAATCAACTTAGTAGAAAGATGAAGGCATTAAGAAGTGACAGGGGTGGTGAATATGAATCTCCTTTCGAGGAGTTTTGTGTAACACGTGGAATCATTCACCAAACAACTGCCCCCTATTCACCTCAATTAAATAGCGTAGATGAACGCAAAAACCGAACATTGAAAGAAGTGATGAATGTCATATTGTCAAGTTCGGGAGCACTCCAAAACTTGTGCAGGGAAGCCTTATTATTTACTAATTATATTCTTAACAAGGTGCCTCATAAAAAAACTAATAAGACAACATATGAATTATAGAAAGGTCGAAGACCTTTCTATAAATTCTTGAAAGTGTGGGGGTGTCTAGCAAAAGTGGCAGTTCCTTAACCTAAAAAGGTTAAGATAAGACCAAAAATTATTAATTGTATATTCATTGGTTATGTGCATAACAATAGTGCATATCGATTTCTTGTTCATATATCTGAGATTCCTGATGTGCATATTAATACAATTATTGAGTCAAGGATTGTGTCATTCTTTGAAATTAATTTTTCATTTAATATGTCAAATGAATCAAGATCACTAAAGAAACCAATTGAGGCTATGACTAGTAATGGTCAAAACGAGGAGTTCATTGAAAATGAACTTAGATGCAGTAAAAGGACAAATACTTCGAATTCATTTGGTCTTGATTTTCTAACTTATCTATTATAAAATGATCTTCAAAGTTTCAAAGAAGTAATGTCCTCCCCCGAAGCTCCTTATTGGAAGGAAGCTATCGATTCTGAAATCGAATCTATTATGAGAAATCATACATGAGAGTTGGTGGATCTTCCACTAGGTAACAACCTTTTAAGTTGTAAATGAATTTTTTTTTTAAAAATGAGAGTTGATGGATCTGTTGACAAGTATAAATCTAGACTTGTAGCCAAAGGATATAAGCAAAGGGAAAGATTAGATTATTTTGACATTTATTCACCAGTTACTAGAATTACTTTCATACGAGTAAACAAAAATACTGAATTAAGTATTCAGTCTTTCTTCTCTCTCTCTCTCTCTCTCTCTCTGTGCATATTACTGCATTATTATTTCAAGTTCGGTTCAAGTACAAACACATAATTGTGTTTATTGGAGTCTTGGAGATTGAAGTGTTGAATCTTCAAGAACGAAATTCATTCTATCTTGGGAGACAGTTGCTTATCAACCTTAAGTACCGAGAGAGAACAAATCTGTTTTAAGGAAAATGTGATTACATAGTGCTCGGATTATTGTTTTTATTATTGGATTTTTAGTTTTCTGAATTTTATTATTTGTGTTGTTCTGCGTCAATGTAAGTCAACTGATTTTGATTTCTATACATTCTGTTTAAATTATTGCATAAGTTAGACTTTATACAGTTTAATATAATCTAATGACATACACATTTTCTACAACAGTAAACACATCAAAAACAAGAGAGGGAAAGGAGAGAGAAAAAAGAGATACGTATAATTTAATGGGGTTTAGCGTATAAATTGAGTTGTCTAACATTGGGAGCTATGAGGAGAAAATGATATAAAATTTTTTTTGTTATACCATTAAATCAAAATAGATGCAAATTAAATCAATTATGACCGTTATTGTAGCTTATAACTTGTGTGATTCAAGTTGCTAGCTACCATATTAAATAGAAGGTTCTTGGACGGCATCAAGTGCATTTCGAGAAATTTAAAGTAATCCAAAACTCTAATGCACAATATTTTATATTTAAAAAGATTCACGTGCAATATACGTGTACATCTGCCAGTATATATAATTGATACAAACAAAAATTTCATATTTTAAAATAAATATATGAGATCACAACATTCCAAACGGTCTAGTCTCCATCACCAACCAAGATCTCCGATAATTCCATCGCAGGTGACTATGACAATTTCTTTTGTAGGAAGTCGCTTGCAATGCATACGGAAGATGGCATATGCAAAAACGTACGCATTTCCATGACTTACGTAAATGCAGCGGAAGGAAGGCCAACAGGCACAAACGTGGATAGGGGCGGTGCCTAAAATTAGTTTACAAGTTGGTATTTTAACAAGGGTCCATGGGCGGAGCCAGTCATAGGTCAGAGGAGGCACCGGCCCACCCTGAAAAAAAAAATTATATTTATTACTTACATGTATAATAGATGTTTTATGAATTAACTCACCGGTGGTGTCCACCCATGAGTTCATGACCCAACAATACTTAGTTAGCAATGCCCACACCCGTAATCCATGGAAACTCTTTTTATTTATTCATCTTATTCACATATACTTTTTAGATCATCACACAAATCAATGACACTTTGAGTTAGAATATGAAAACGAGGAAGAACAATTGAAGTATCAACAATGCCAAGATAGTAAGTGGGACTCTTCCACAATTGCGACCTTATGGTAACTTTTTTTAGAAAGAGATTAATTGTTAAGGGCTATAATTAATCTCATTTTTTTTAATGTAAGATGACGTAATTATAATTTTTTTATTGTTTTTAATTACACTCAACACATATCAGCTTTTAGCTATTTGTGTTTAGCAAAGTTTTAGGAATTAAATATGATTTTCAGAATCTACTTTGTATCATTTACTCTAGTTGGCCGGAAGGAAAAAGATATAATTTTCAATTTAAGTGTCCACTCTTATATTAATTCTTAGCTCCGCCCCTGCTAGGGTCAACTCTATAATATGAAGTGATTAATGACTTTAGGCTTTCACAAAGATGACTCTAAGTTTATGTATGTTAATAAAATGGTGTAGATTACAAATTTAAACTGTCCATAAAAAAGATATAATAAAAGGAAAATATCAAAAAATATTAAAATATAAATGAAAAAGGTCATTACAAAATAATCTTATTTTTTTATCAAATTTTCATCCTGAAGTCAATCGCTAATTACTCTCGAATCATACACATATAGAGATATAATAGATAAACTATATTTTCAATTAAGAGTTGATTTGAACAATAAATTTGTCTCAAACTGTTTCTCAACGATCTTAGAAAATTGACCTTGGCGTATTTTTTTATTTTATATCAAAATTGCAAAGTTATTTAAATATGAATTCAATAAGTAAGCGTAATAATACCTCTAGAATTTAATTGAAACAAATCAATCATCAATCTTAGAAAATTAGATGTCGATTATAGGCCAATTACAAATAATTTAAATTTTGATCTACGAATTTAGAAACAAAAAGACTCATAAATATACAAATCAAGGTCAATTTTAAGGATAGACACAACTTATTATCTCTAAAAATATAGCTAAATTATATATAATATACTAGTCATAACTCATGCCTGAAGGCATGATGAAATATAAAATTCGAGCGCCAAAAAAATCGATCCCACTATATTAAATTTTTTCAACATCTGTATACTATCGTATTTGAATAATGTTTGAAATAAAAATTATATTAACTACAAATTAATCAAATGATTAAACACATGATATAAATGAATGATGTGATGGTTTTATGAGGGAAATATATAAATGATTAAACATGTGATAGACATGAGTGATGTGATATTTTTAAGAGAAAAATATGTAGAAGATACAAATTCAAATTGCTATGTGTTTTATTATATATATAATAAGAAAAAAAAAATTGAAGGTGAGTCCATGCCCACCTTGGCCCCTACGTGGATCCAAAAAGGGGCGGGTGAGTAAATGCTTATTGGGTATGTTGTATTATTGACATATTTTATTACCAATTAATATTAAAATATTACATAGCAGATGTCTAATTAATTTATGTGGTATTTCATAATTTGTTGATGATAATGCGACATCACCATCAAATTATATATTTTCTTGAGCCCCTTTCCAAAGGAGAAAAGTTTATGATGACCTTGACGTTTGTAAGAGCTTGATTCATGGTAAGAGAGAGAGAGAGAGAGAGAGAGAGGGTTAATTGTGGAATGAAACAGTCCAATGTTACCTTTTTAGCCCCATATCACTTTCCAATTTTGTCATTGAAATAATCAATTAAAAAACCCAGAAAAATAATAACTTGCTGTTCGTATAGTAAATGACCCAAAAAATGCCATATCCCCCCCCCCCCCCCCCCAAAAAAAAAAAACCAGGTTTGTCCTTCAAAAATGCCTCTATATACACTGTACTTTTGTCAAGCTCGTGACATAGTTTTAGTCAAATATATATATATATATATATATATATATATATATATATATATATATATATATTTTATTTTGACAGGTTTAATAAGCTCGCCCAAAAGCAACAAGTAATTTTGTGTGTATTTCTTTTCTTGTATGTGTGTAGAATTGCTAGCCCTAATTTTGACCAAGCCCAAAACATGCGCAATCATTACATGGCGGCACCACATATAGATGTCAAACAACGTCGCCCTCACCAACTTTCTTCCTTCAATTCACAACTATTGCCCGAACTTCCCATCAATACATTTTGTACAACAGGGTGTAGCATAGTCCAGAGTTTTTTTTTAAACCATTAAACACACACGGTCCCGTGTGCGCGCAAAGACACAAGAGAAGAGGGACGTCAAGATAAGCTCATGATTAATGAAATTCCAGGATCCAAAGACAATTACTTCTTCCATCTCATGACCAGAAGCTGGTATTGACAAAACTTCAGAGGAAACTGAAACAACTAGAAGGCATTAGTTCAAACTAGGTGCCCAAATTCTTTAATGGAACATTGTGAACAATCATGCAGCTGATTAAAATGCTGCCTGGCTTAGTTGAAGTCCTATTCACCCTTGCATGTTCTTGCCGAAAAAGCAAATTTCAATCACATCTTATTATGTTTGTCATAATATTTCTATTTGTATAGATACTAGGCTTGTTTAATTCTTCTTTTTGAGAATTTTGTATTTGCTATATGTGTTTCATCTCATTTTTTCAGTTGATAGGACCTTATGATTATCGATCCAAACTTACGATCTCGATCCTATAAACTCGTCAACACTGTCTATCTGAGATAGGATCTCGATTTTAAAAATCTTACGAATAAAGCTGACGAGAGCCCGAGAGACCACCAGATTCTAAAAATACCAAAAGCAAAAGTTCAATTACAGGCATCCACTCTAATTACACCAAGCAAAGGTCAATTGATAACAGAAGGCCACATTAAACAGAGGAAGGAACCTAACAATATGAATAACACTGGTATCTTCAATATCAATCACACCGGAATACCTAATTCTGAAATCTTCATAGTCTGTTTCTCCATTTCTTTCTTTTGTTGTCGAACAAATGATGCCATGGAAGCAACCTGATCAAAATATTGCAAAGAGCAGGGAACATTTCGATGGAAGCATCAGTCAAGTTAGACATTGCAGAATAGCATAGGGAAAGATAACAATTTTTATGAAGACGTGTTCTGTTTACCTCTGCTCTTAATTTCAAAGCCTCCCTACCAGGAATCTCACGTAGCAGGTCCATCAGATCTATCAAAAGCGAATAAAAAGATAACCAAATCATTGCATTTCAATGCAAGTACGTACTTCCATCCTCGCCATTCACAATAAACTGGTTCTTTCCACAAAAAAATTATATTACAAAACAAAGCATAAAGAAAATTTTGTAACAGCCCAACAAATGGGAGTTATCTGACATATCTGGCTAGTGTGTACATTTTTGTATGTGTAAGCATGTTTGACTTTCGTGGTCTCTTTTTTTCTCACACCAGCTTAGGCAACAGCATTTGAAATGACACATTTTGCAATACAATTCAATCAGAATGAGTTATTTTCTTTTTCTTCTCTTATCTTAAGAAAAGGTGAAGTCGATAGTAGGGCTAGATATATCCCGGCTTCACTTCACTTCCACCTGATTGATTAACTCGGGTTTCTTTTTCATCTCCTATCTTAAGAAAAGGTGAAGTCAATAGTAAGACTAGATATATCCCGGCTTCACTTCACTTCCACTTGATTGATTAACCCATGGCCATACAATTCAGAATATAACATGAATAAAATAACTCAGATAAACATACCAGCAGCGTCAGCGTCTGCATTGTAAACCAATTTAGCAAGACCTTTAATCTGACTTGCAGCATCCCTACAGATTACTTAAAATTGTCAAATGCAGGCAACTAAACAAATTTAGCTACACACTCAAAATGCATAAAACCAATTCTACATGAGCTCAGCATGGCCACGTTTCATTTCTTTTTCAGCAAGAGCTGCCCTTTCAAGCAATTTTCTGCTCTCATTCTTCATTAAGTCAACAGAAAGATTCAACTCTTTTACATTCTTCTCAGCTCTCACAAACTGTGCCTGAAAATACATTTGAAGCCATTTGACACACATTTAAAATGCTTTCAAGAGTTTATAGAACACACTTTAATATCAACACATAATCTAAGACTGGGTTTTATTTTTTTGCCCCAAAACAAATCAGTGGAAGATTATGCAATCACGTTTACAAGCACCATTTTGTTCATAAACAAAGTGGAGAAGTTTTTTAAATTAGGAGAGGTGAATACCTCCTCGCTCTGAAGTCGGCCCAATGAATGCCGAAACAAAAACCTTCTGGGGCCTGCAGATTAGTGGCATTAGATCTCAGAAGAAACAAAACATTCTTCCACACAAAACCAACAGGCAACATCAATATATGTCATTACTTAAAGACAAGGCTGTCAAAATGTGCATCGGAGTGCATATCGTTTTCTTAAAATAATATATTGTGTATCACAACATATCGTGTATCATAAGATTGATTAATTACTTTTGTAAACATATACATAGTTCCAAAACGATATAAATCCTAATTCAACTTAAATTCCATTCAAGCTTAAAAAAAACCTCCAGTTTCAAAACAAAATATGACAATTCAAGTTTACAACATAATTCATCAATTTCAAAATTCAAAGACTAGCAAAATCCAAAACAATTCATTCTTATAGTACTATGAATTACATTTTCATCTTGATCTTTAGTTTCAACAGCATCAATATCTTCAGCATCAGGCTCTTTAGCTACTCTTTCTTATTCTATCTTTTGCATGTCTTCACCCTTTTCATTATTTTTTTGAACTACTTCCTTCCTTTTAGTATTTCTTATTTGACAAATATTTCTAGGTCTCACATAGAGACAGTATATTTTTTCTTAAAATGATTGAATGAGTCAACAAAATTATAAAAAGAAACCATGCAACTTATGTGGGATATTTATCTTTCTTTCTCTTTTTTGTTATTTTCTCCTTTTTGAACATAGACGATACGTATCGTGTATAGATAGTATTGTACGATACATATCTTGAATTTTATGATAAATTGTAAAACAGTACACTTATACAAAACGTATCGTATTACTCTTATATTGAACTATATTGTATCTATCGTAAGATACTAATTGTTGATTTTTTTTTATGGAGTCTAGTTTGTATATGTAATCCGGATGATGACCCGACCCGAAGTAATGTTGTGTGGTTTTTAATGGAAAATTTTTTGAGGTTTAGTTCATGGAGTGAAGGTTTGGGCCGATAGGCCTAAGCTGTAAAACTCATGGACAAGCCTCGTGGGGGTTCGAGGGCAACGCCCCCGAGAAAAATTTTTTGGGCCCGTTATACATCCCGGTGCGTAGGACATATAAACCCTGTTGTTTTGGTGATTAGGGTTAATCGTGGATTGTACAGCCGCTCTCTATATTCAACTCTCTCAATAGTGAAATCCCTGCAGCTTCGTGGACGTAGACAAATTGCCGAACCACGTAAAATCTGTGTCTTATTCTTTCTTATTGTTTTATATTCTTGATTTGTTCTTCGTTTGTTTGTGTTTGTTAGTAGATTTAAATTGTGTTAAATCCCAACACTAACAACCAGAACAAATTCAGACAAGGATGCCAAGTTCAACCACTCAAGAGCTTTGAAGGCTTTGAAACAAAAAACAAACAGAAGCCCAGACCACAACATCAAATTATATGCAGATTGGCATGGACACAAGATTGGCAAGCCAAGATCGGAAACAATCAATCAATGGGTCCTCTAACCAGTATTGAAAACAAGCGATTCTGTTGAATTGTCTAATACTGCTCTTGAACTCCATGAAGTAGACATAGTTAAAGAAATAAAAGATGCCACTGTAAGGTGAGTCCAACATCATGCAAGCCAAATCATATGATCAAGCTAATGACTGTGAAAACCATCCCCCTATAGCCCTCATTCAGTAACGGATCCCACACTGACTTCAAAAAATATACACAACCCACATGTCTACATGTCTAATTCTCATGTAAAACATGCTTTTACAACCTTAACTCTATGGAGAAATTTATCAGAAGATGAAAAAAAATGAAGTTAAAGATCACTAACACTTCAGCTACAGATCACAAGCACGTAATACAATTATACAAAGCACACCCCTCAAACTGAGAAAAGTTGAAATTCATTGGTTTTCCCCTCTGAAGTCTGTCAAAAAAAAAAAAAAAAGATTTCCCAGCCAGAACATCAATTGCACCAACCTCCTGATGGTATGTAGTTGTGAATATTGTGCTACAGAAATCTACCTAAGCCAAGGACACCTAATTACATTCTCCTTGAGGGCTAGGGGCAAACCAAATCAGATTTTAACGTATATCTTTTATTGGAAACCTACAAAACCACAACCCTGACTGCAGGAGCAGACTTTTTTGAGATTAATTCTTGCATTTCTTTTTACCATGAAATGCAGACGTAACATCTCCAGCCAAAACAACGACCTATGTCAAATGAAACTTCTTAATAACATATATTCGCACAAAAATCAACTGCAGCTCAAATGTTGCAATCCTTCCTTGAGAATTTCAACAACCCACCCCATTCCGTTACTGGTAACCTAACTAAGACACATCCTGAAGACTTCCCAAGATCCTTCAAACCTAGAGACTTTTTAAGTGACCCTTGATATTTTTACTTTGGCTACTTAGATTAATAAAATAGATTTAGGATGTTTCTGTACCCGACTCTTGAGCTTTTATAGAAAAATCTTTAGAAACTTCAAAGTTTGTTTTGAAAAACATGAAATGAATCATGAAATTGATTATGGTTGTTAACGCTCCTTGGTATTTGTTGGAGTTATAGCAACCTAGTTTATTAGAGTTTTTCCTTTTTTACCTTTTTCTTCTTATTGTGACTTTATTGACTATATATACGGGGTTTTTATACTTAGTTTGTATCTCTTTTTACTCGCCAATACATCAAGTTAGTGTCAGAGCCAAAACCCTAACTTCTCCTCCACGTCCGCCAACCCTAGCCCTAACCCTAGCCCTTTCACCACGTTGCAGCCATCAGCCACCGTGACTCACAACCTGTAACTCCATCAAGACAACTACGACCCACTGAATCCACCGACTGCCTAGACCACCCACCATCCCATCGACAGACAACATACTTCTTACAAAAAACTCACTGAACCCACTGGCTGCCCAGACCACACCGACAGCCAACATCAAACCAACCTCAATCAGTCCACTCCAACATACCTAAACATCCACCGACAACACTCCCCTACTGCCCAAACCCAAATAATCAGCAACAAAACCACAAACCCAAACTAGTGACCCACCCCTTACCCAAACCCAGACCAACCCACTACCTGTCGCACTCTTCGTCATAACTTCGTTTTTACCTTTGTGCATCACGCTCTTTGTCGTAGTGCCACAACATCTAAGACCTTTTAAGTGGGGATGAATCCTCTTCTCCATTGATTTGCTCTTGATGCAATAGATCAATTATTTATATTTACTAAATTTTTGAGCATCGTGATCTGATTATTTAGGAGTTTTTTGGACCTTCTTTATTTGTCACTACTAATCGACTGAAGGTATATTATTCTCTTTTATTTTGTCCCTTTATTTATCTTAAGAGTTTTTTTCGGTCACGGGTGCCCACGTATTATTGTTGATATGGCTACTACTGAGGGACATGAGACTCCAACCGTTGAGACTTCTATTGTTGAGACTTCTGTTAATACTTCTACCGAGAATGTACCGCCTGCTTTTCCCATTGTTATGCTTAACTAGTATACAGTACCTACTAGTACAGTTGCGTTACCGACAATGCCGAGTATGATCTCTCAGAAGGTTACGACCCAGCTATTGAATGGTCATAACTTTGCTGAATGGTTACACTCATTCTAACTTTCTTTAGGCTATGTTGAGAAGCTTGGTTAGTTGACAGGATCTCACCCAAAGCTAGCTGATGACGACCCTGGATATTCTGTATTGTTCTCTGAAAACTGTGCTCTTCTTGGATAGTTATTTGGCTCGACGAAGTCCTCTGTTTGTAGGATTCACCAGTTTCATAGTTCTGTTTCGAAGCTATGGAATGCATTATCAGAGATATATTCCCAGTCAAGACAGAGAGTTCGTGTCTATGAGATCTCTCAGGAGCTTTCATATGCTCAGTTAGGAGATATGACGATTCAGGATTATTATGACTATTTGATCCAGCGCTGACTTGAGTATGAAACTCTACGCCCTCGTAATGCTATTCCAAGGATAGAGCTCGAGAGAGCATCATTCTTGCATACTCGAGAGCAGAAGGATAAGATTCAGTGATTCACAAGCTCCTTATGGGGCTTTGTGATGAGTTTATGGGACCTCGTTCCCAAATCTTGTCGATGCTAAGGCTTTTATCCCTTTATGAAATGTATGCGATGATTGAGCAACATGAGCGCCGTGTCCGTATTGCATCATTTTCAGTTGCGACCTTGACTCCTCAGGCCGACTAGATAGCCCTTGCAGCTACTGCAAGGTCTCGTTCAAGACCCTTAGCTAGGGGTGGACAGCGCTCGAACCAGCATCGTCAAGGTGCCCCAGATCAACGTAGATAGAGAGATTCTCGTCAGTGTGATTATTGTGGCCGACCAGGACATCTCAAGGCTACTTGTTGGAAACTCCATCCAGAGCTTAAGCCGCCTCCTCGTAGCCAATTTACTGCCATTGCTGAGGCACCATCACCTATAGTCATTGCTCCTGCTACAATTGCTCCTCCTTGGAAGAGTGATATGAATGCTATCACTTCTCACCTGGATATACTTATTTTGACTTCTCAAGGTTCAACCACTGCTGGTGCGACTACTATAGGTATACCTCGTGCCTTTCATATGTGCGCCAATCCGTCTCCCTTTTGGATGCTGAACTCTGGTGCGAATGGTCATATGACAGGTAAGGCCCATCATTTCACCACTTTTGATGAGCAGTTATATACACAAGTTCAGTTAACAAATGATACACATGCCTCTATTGTTAGTAAGAGTATAGTCCGCCTCCAAGATGGCTTTACATTGCGTTTAGTGTTTCGTGCGCCAAAGCTGGCCATGAATTTATTATCTATTCATCAATTAGCCAAAGATTTTCACTGTGTAGTTGTGTTCCTATCTGATTCGTGTTATTTGCAGAACCTGAGTACCAAGAGAATTATTATTAGGAGACATGAGAGAGATGGACTATATTATTTAGGCGATCCACCTCTAGTTTCACTAGTTTCACCAGTTTCTCCACCTCTATCACCTGCTTTGTCTTTATCTATTCCTAGCTTACATGCTAGTATTTCACCTAGTACTTGTCGTTATGATTTTTTATCACAAACTGTTTAGTTGTGGCATGACCTTTTTGGGCATACAAATTTTAAATATTTATGAATGTTATTTCCCGCTTTGAGCAATACTTGTGTTAGTGGTAAACTTGACTATGTTATATGTTTCCTATCAAAACATGTTCGAATCAGTTACATTCCTCGCATGCACCAGTCACCAAAACCATTTGACCTAATATACTCTGATATTTGGGGACTTTCCTGTTACTACTCTGTCAGATGCTTGAAACTATGTGACATTTATAGATGACCATACCCGTTGTACTTGAGTCTACCTTTTGCATAGGAAGTCTGATGTACTCCCTGTCATCTCTCAATTTTTCAGATGATTAAGACACGATTCGATGTCATTATTCGTGCTCTTCGTCCAGATAATGCCAAAGAATCTGTTTGATGCCTTAGTGTCTCACCTTTCTTTTCAGGGTATCATTTAGCAACTCACTTATCCATATACTTCTTAGCAAAATAGAGTTGCTAAAAAAAAAAAATAGGAGTCTAATAGGGATGGTACGGTGTATCCTTAGAGGTATGAGGGTACCAAAATCTTATTAGCATTTACTATTTTAACTTCTACCTTTTTGTGTAATCATCTACCTCAAGTCTTGTCCTGAACTTGAGTTGTTTTATGCATCAGGATCTTAGACTGATTCTCTAACCTGTTATTCAGATTGAGATTGAGGGAGCGTCTAACGGTCGATCTACTACAGGCTTCTACACTTTTCGAGGGACTCATCTTATCTCCTGAATGAGCTAGAAGCAGTCAGTTGTCCCTCACTCATCAGCAGAGGCAGAGTATTAGACATTGGCACTTGACACTTGGCACTTGGCACATGTGAGATTATCTGGCTACGATCGATTCTTGGTGAGTTAGGATTTTCAGTGATTTCTTCATTTACATTATATTGTGATAATCGATCTGCTATTCAGCTCGCTTCTGACTTTGTATTACACGAGAGGACGAAACATATAGAGATCAATGTTCACTTTCTTTGGGAGAATGTTAGTAGTGGTATTGTTAGTCTATCGTTTGTGGGGACCAGTGATCAGGTTGCGGATGTTTTCATCAAACTTATCACTTTCTATTTTTTGGGACTCTATTGTTAAACTTGGCTTAATTGACATTTTTGTGCCTAGCTTGAGGGAGAGTATTGGAGTTATAACAACCTAGTTTACTAGAGTTTATTAGAATTTTTTTTGTTTTTACCTTTTTATCCTTATTGTGACTTTTATTGACTATATATACGAGGGTTCTATACTTAGTTTGTATCCCTTTTTATTCACCAATACATCAAGTGTATTCACCCAAACTAGTTTTTCCTTGGTTTTAAGTTTAACAATCAATAGAGTATTTCATACGCTCATTGGCCTATGGCTTAAGCGGTCTTTGAAACACTTGGGAAAAATTTGAAAAAGAGTAAAAAATTTGATAATGGAGACAACTCGCTGGCTGCTCACCGATCACTCGAGCAATTTGTAGATGGGTCGAGCGACCTTGGCACCGCTCGAGCTATCCCTATTCAACAGGTTTGGAATTGTTGCTCCGCTCATTTTAGTGATCACCATCCTCTCACAACTCAAGCGGTCCCTCACGAATTTGAGTTTTTTTGTTTCCCAATTAAACTCTATTTACGAGGCCTATACATATAGGCATAAGTAGCTAGGGCAAGAAGAGGAGTACTAGGAAGGTGACTCCATTATGCTTGATTTCATACCTACAAAGATAGAGAAATAGATAACAGTTTAGACAATAGGAACTTCCCAAGATTAAATTAAAGAAAATGCTATTTGAATCTAATTTGGAGATCTAATCTGAGAACCTAATGAATTATTACTGTTGGATTGAAAGTAGGTTTCATCCAACTTTGGAACTCACAATTAATCTAATAACTGAATTAAAAGGGATGTTACTGCATCATATGGCTGATATAATATTTTATGTCCTTTCTTTCTAGGATTTATCGCAAAACATTTTTTAACTAAATCAAACTAAGTCTTATGTCTCAATCATTTAAGGTCGACCATATGAGTCCGTTTTCACTATTCATTTCAGTCATGCGTTATACGCTCATTTAAGTGAAATATTTTTATACTTTTTTTTATTATTTCGTTCAATGTTAATTTAGCTCTACCATTACTCCAAGTAACATTAAGTGAACTTCTATCACTTTTTCTAACCAGTGCCTCTATCAGTCTCCGTTGAACATAACCAAACCATCTTAATCTATTCTCTCTCAATTTATCCTCAATTGGAGCTACTCCCACCATTTCTATAATATGGTCATTTCTTATTCTATTATTTCAATTGGAGCTACTTCTACCTCAACATTCTCGTTTCTACTACACTCATTTTGTCACTATGTTGTTTCCTAATTAACCAACATTCCATCTCATAAAAGATTGTTGTCCGTATAACTGTTCAGTAAAACTTGTCTTTAAATTTAATTGGTATCCTTCTATCGTATAATATGCCAGAAACTTTCTCCACTTAAGTCAACGAGTGTTGATTCTATGAGTTACATCGTCTCCAATCTCTCCATTATTTTTAATAATCGATCCTAAATATCTAAATCATTTACTCGTTGATATTTCTTGATATTTTCTCACATGTAAATATATAGAAGGCTAATCTTCTATAGCCTCATGAACATGGGCTACACCCTTCCCCTTTTGGTGCACCATAGTGTACTCCACCTTTCTTTCTAATTAATTTAAAATTCTCAACAAAGATTTTATTTACAAAAAAGAAAAAGAAGAAACTCTTAAGATTACGAGGAGAAGAATTGTTTACAGGGGTCAATAGAGAGTAACTCCAAAAAAGTCCTTTTGAGGATTCAAAACCTACCTTCTGAAG